GAAGGAAGGGAGGGAGGGAGGGAGGGAGGGAGGGAAGGAAGGAAGGAAGGAAGGAAGGAAGGAAGGAAGGAAGGAAGGAAGGAAGGAAAGCAAGCAGGTGGGTGTGGTGGCACATGCCTTTAATCCCAGCACTCAGGAGGGAGAGGCAGGTGGATCTCAGTGAGTTCAAGGCCAGCCTGGTCTACATAGTAAGTTCCAGGCCAGCTGGGGCTACAGGGAGACCCTGTCTCAAAAAGACCAAAAACAAAAGCAAACTAGGACACACCTCAATCAGACTGACAGGCTGGAGAGGCAGTCATGTACAAAAACTAACCCATCCATCTCAAACAGAATACAATTTCTATGGCTACACATGTATGTCTTACAACTACATAAATTGCAAAGCACTTTACAGGGACACTGTGCTTCCTGACTTCTTAAACATAGTAACAAACTCCTGTATTTCCAACGGTGGTGAGTGCTGCATGTGCCTGCGCAGCCACTGTACAGCGAAGCACACTGTGAATCCTAGATAACCTACGCTAATAGAGTACGCTATTTGCATGTCTACATCTACCCGGTATTACACTAACCCTCATTTGACCTGCTTCATAAGGATGTCTCCATTCATCTTCCTATCCCCAAGTCACACAAAACCCGGACCATGCAACTGCACCATGCACACCAGGCTTCTCCCGCGTCCTGCAAGCCAGGTTCTTTCCCGGCGGTGCCATACTTGCACATCGCTGCCTCTCCAGACACCAACCACCCCTGCGGCTCAGGATCTCCACAACCTACCAAGCTCGCCGCACAGGTACGGCTATTTGGTTCCCCAGGAAAATTATCCACGACCCAAAGCTTCTGCTTCCCCCACAGCACCGCCCCAAGTCCTAATGCAGCCCTGGGTGCCGGATGGCGGGGGACGAGGGGCGCAGGCAGTCTGGGGACATCCGCCGAGGGGCCCGACACCCGCGTCCCCAGAGCCCGACCCACAGGCCGCAGACGCGCTGCGAACCTACCCGAGAAGGCAGCGGTCGCAGACGACGCCACGACTCCCCTTGCACACGGTGTAGGCCAAGGGGTCGGAGCGGAAGAGCAGCTCCCCGGGCCGCAGCTGGGCTACCGCGCGCAGTCCGTTGCCCCTGTCCGCCGTCGTGAACTTTTCCACCTTCAGCGCCTCCATCCTGCCGGCTCTGCACCTCAGACCCGAACCGAGTCCCTCAGGTGCCGTCTCGCGGCTGCCAGGACCCCGCGCGCGTGTCCTGCGCATGCGTACAGCCAAGGGGCGGGCGCGCAGGCTCCCTCTGAGCATGCTCAGCAAGGTCGTGCGCCTACTGCCTTGCCTTCCAATTTATATTACGTTAAATTGAATGCACAGGGAGAAGTTAAGGGGTTGGACAGGTGGCTCAGCGGTTAAGAGCACTGGCTGCTCTTGCAGAGAACCTGGGTTCTATTCCCAGCATCCACATTGCGGCTAACGACCGTCCGTAACTCCGGTTCCGTCACCTTCTTTGGATCTGCATGTGCATTGCACGCCACAGGTACACTTACACATACAGGCAATACACTCATATTTTTTAATTAAATAAATAAGTAATAAATAAAATAATTTTTGAAAAGTTGATAAAGCAGTGACCACCTACATCAACTACCTACATCAATT